GCTTTCTTCCTGGAGCCTGCAGCCTGGCTAATAGCCATCCAACTGCTGCTATGTCTTCTTACAGTCAAGTCCAGCTACAAAAGTCTGACCCTATCTTTCTTGGGGAGGGGTTACTTCTTTGCTTACTAATGAACTACAGGCGGCTTGCTAAGAATGTCTGGCTTAGTCCAACAATCTAACCCCCACTCCCTTTGTCTTCTGAATACAGGATTGTTAACAGGTCCCTTCATCTTGAATGGTTAGAATACGTGCTAAACTGTCTGTGCAACCTTGTAGTTAGCAGTGCCCTTCCCAGCCCATGCACACACGCTTACCCCCCTGTAGTTGGTCCACCAAAAGAGATTACTAGCCTCTGTCTCTCTCCAGTAGCCCGGACTTGCCCCTGCATATGCTAGGTCATTGCACATGCAGCCAAAGAGACAGTGTAAGAGCAGCTACTATGCTTGGGCTGCAGCCAGGCCTGTGTATAGTGGAACTCAGGGCCGGGTGTGCCCCTGTGAGCATTCTACAAAGCAAGTGGCATTCGTTTACCCTGGACAGGGGCTTCGCCTTCAGCTGTGGGCTTCCAGGGTGACAGACTCTCAGCCAGTAAATGTCATGGAAGCTGTTGAAGTTCCGTAACCCAGGGAAGGTTTAACACTAGATCCCCTGCGCTATAGGGCCAGAGCAGGGAGTGGCTCTCTCACGGCTTCGGGATGGTGATGAGGAAAGAAGGATTCTTCCAGCAGCACCCTCCTGCCAAGCCGCCTACCCTCCGGTGATTTCCTGAACCCAGACTGTTCTGTCCATGGTTAGTGCTTGAAACACCCCCAGCCTCTGGAATCCAGGATGTGTGTGTGTGGGGGGGTGATGTTCTGCCACGGCCCAGCCGCTGCCGAACCTCAGCTTGTTCCAGGCAAAGCAGCCGTGTGGGGTTGGTAATGGGTGTTTCTGGGCAGGTGTGGTCTACGTTAACCAACATGGTTCTGCTGAGCCCTAGGGATTCAGAATCGCCCAGGCGCCTGAGAGAGGCAACTTGGTCATTGTACGAGCAGCCGTTGGGGCCCCCACTTCCAGTCAGACAAGCTCCTCTCAGCCCACCACCACCGAGGAGCGGAATAGCTTGGGCCTAAGCCTGAGAGCACTTGGACCAGCTGGACTAAGCTTTGCCCTCTGCAGAGAGGCGCATGGGGTGGTTAGTTGAGCAGAGGGCTGGGGCTGGCCGGGGGAAGGGCATCAGCTGTACGGGGGCCCATGTGATATAGCTGTGAGCGAGGGGTGTTTGGACTGTAACAAGGGAAGGGCGTCAGCTGTACGGAGGCCCATGCGATATAGCTGTGAGCGAGGGGTGTTTGGACTGTAACACCCCCTCCCCCACTCTCCCTCGGCACCATGGCTCTGGGATCCTGGCGGAGCGGAACAGGCGCCCAGCAGCGTGAAAAGCAAATTGAGAAGAGTTCTCCAGTCCTGGCCTGGGGCGATTTCATACCGGCTCCTCCCTGGTCCAAGGACAGTCTCTGCTGGTCCCACCAGGCTTCGTGTAGTTGGCTACGACAGCAGCGCCGCCTGCAGGGGACGGACAGGCCCTTCCCGCGTGGGCGTTAAGAGGCTGGGGATGAGCTGGAGCTGATTTTTTTGGCTAGTTCCATGTCCGACTTGGCAACCAGAAACCGCAGCTTCGTCCCTCCCGAGCGGATGAACTCCACTGCACTGGGGAGAGCAGACCACAGGACCAGCGAGGTTAATGCCACACCCCCGCGCCCGGTGCTGGCAGGGCCTCTAGTCAGGGTTTGCCTGGCTGTACTATCCCTCTGCTGCATCCCCCACGCTCCCTTTGGGTCGCATGGCCCAGCGAGCGCCAGGCAGGCTCTAGAGACAAGGTCCCAAGCGCCCGGCATGGCGGGTGCAGCTGCTCTGTGTAGCTGCTGTTGATGTTCACTGCAGCCGGGGCTTTACCGTTACTGGTACTTGCCTCCCACGCTGCTCTTGCCTGCTCCAGCGCCCTCGCCGTCAGGTTCTGCCCTCTCCCCTCCCCCCTGCACGCCTGCTGTCCAGCTTGCTTGTGTCTTCGTTCACCTCAGAGAAAGCCAGGAGGCGTGGAAGGGGGTGGGGGCTGTAATTGTCCTCAGGGAGCATAAAGTGAGTGTGGAGCTGAACTGCAGCCAGCTGTTCCCCCACCCTCACCTCATTGAGGGCCATGTCATGTTCAACACACGGCTGCTACTTGCTCCCATCACAAATTGCTATTCTCCCCCCCACCCACACACACACACCCCAGCAGAGCGCCCCAGAAATGCACCCAACGTTCAGCGCTACCACCAGGGTTATGTCTCCTCTGGAATCCTTGTTCACTGCAGGAGGGCAACACTGGCCCCGGCCCCACAGAGGAACATCACTTCTGACAAACAAGCGTTTCCTGCCAGGCCAAGCTGTTGGCTCACACCTGGGTTTGGAAGGGCCGCGGCAACTGCAGAGGCATTCAGGGGCTGCTGCTCCTTCCAATGGAATGGACCTGGTCCATTCTTCACAGCAGCACCAGCTGGGGGCTTATCTCGACAGGTCAGACCAGCTGGCGTGGTGGTGGACAGGGACGGGACCGTTTAACACGCCTGCCGCTGCTAGCCAGTGAAGGGCGCAGCGATGACTTTCTCCTGTATTGTTCGGGGCCGGGCCAAGTCTCCCTGCTGTTTGGCCACATACTTCACCGCCTGCAAAGCAACCTCCCACCCCCTTTATCTTTTACCTCTGGTAATCTGCTCCGATGAGACTGGCGCCGTTCACAGCCAGGATGCGGTCTCCAATGGAGAGTCTGCCGTCTGCGGCTGCAGGGCTGTCCTGGATAAGGGTCCGGATGTAGATGCCAGGAGAGTTCAAAGGGGTGTGCTGTCAACAATGACCAGCGGTCAGTAACATGGTGGCAGTGGGACTGGCTTTGCATGCAGAACGAGGCACAGGGCTATGCCGCGTGCTGGACCTGACAGCTCTGGGTCGGTCAGGAGGGGATCCTTGATGGCCGTTGGTTGCCAAATCTATTCCACTCACAACTTAAAAACGCCTGCTTGGCGCAGGCCTAGGTGACACTGGGTGCCCTCATCAAAAGCTGCTCAGCGACTCAGTGCCACAGTCTTCTCTTTTTAAGTTGCCGGACGGGGGGTGGGTGGACTGAGGGCCTTGACTTTCAAGAGCCCCACGCTCCTGAGCATGAGTCACTTATGAAAGTGGGACTTGAACATTTCTGAAAATGCATCGCGCTGCACGGGTCAGCCGGTGGATGCTTTTTTAACCGCCTGTAGTAGCCAGTGCCCCAGCTCTGGCAAGGCTCCCACTGTTCCTAACGCTGGGAGAGCTGAATCTACGGCTAAGTGTACGCTGTGGAGCTTTTCCGGGATACCGGAGGTCCAAGGAACACGTCTGCTTTTTCAGAACAGTTTCCGAAAAAGTGGACGTGTTCTTTCAGCATCCCCGTATTCCTCACTGTATGTGGAAGAAGGGATGTTCCAAAAGAGGAGGTTTCTTCCAAAATTTGGCCCCGTGTAGATGGGCCAAATGTGGAAAAGCCTCTTCCGGGGAAAAAAAAAAAAAGCTGAAAAGGATATGCAAATTGCCATTCACAATTTGCGTATCTTTTCCCAGTAACACACTGAAGTCTAGACCAGTGTTTCGTGGTACGAGTACCTTTAGGGGTACTCAAGGGAAGTATGGGGGGTACGTCAACATAAATGAAATTTGGAGAAAACTGAATTTTTGGTTTAAGTTTTACAGCGCTTTATTATTTTTGTACTTTTTACAACCCAAAATGTTATTGTCCACCTGGCTACGATTAAGTTGTTTAAAGAAATGTGTTGCAATAGTAGAAAAAAAATGTGTGTGTCTGAAAACTGTAGGTACTGGCGGTACGTATAATTTTTCTTTTTTTGAAAAAGGGGTACTGTATACAAAAAAGATTGAGAAACACTGGTCTAGACAGTCTACATTAGCAAGGGACAAGTGCCTATAGGGCAGGAGTCTCGAACTCCTGGCCTGCAGGCACAATCCTGGAGTCCTGGCAGGTGGCGGGGGCAGACTGTCCATTAGTTTCGTCCTGCCATCACAGGAGCTGCAGGGAAGCGGAGTGAGTGCTTCTGCAGCCACAGGCTCCCTCTCGCACCCTCCCTCTCCCCCCTGGTGGGACTCCCAGGCCAGATTGTGCCATCGCTCTGGCCGGAGATGGCTTGCGGGCCAGGAAACCAAGACCCCTGCTCTAGAACGGTTTCCAAGTGCAGATGACTTTGCAAGAGAAAGGACTGAACCGAGTTGTGTGTGTGAACTAGATTGTGTAGTCTGTCCCCATCATCTACTGGGGGAGACGGAGGGTTAGTGACTTCCCCCAGCTGATGCGTTCCTGCAGGCAGAAGATGCGGAGAACGTGCTCCGGTTCCTTTCTGTGCTCAGTGGGAGGCTAGTGGGCCACCCCAAGAATTTTGCAGCACCAAGAGGCCAAACTTCTCCAGATGCCAGGATAAGCAAGGTTGCTGCAGAGCAAGGAGGAAGAGGAGCTGGCTGCACTTCTGAGGTCCTGGCATAATCTGCTACCTATGACCTCCAGGGGGTTCTAGTAGCAGGCTGGGTGGTTCACCCCTGTGCACCCGGGTGGAGCAAGGAGACTGCCAGTCACACTTCCCTTCTCTGTTCTAATAACAGGAGAAGGATAATCATCAAACCAAGGCCCCTCACTCAGGCTATGTCTACACTACCAGTTTTTGCTGGAAGAGGCAATGCAAATGAAGCGCTGATTAGCATATTGTCATGCTTCATTTGCATAATCTATTCCAAGCCGTTTTTGTGCAAAACCAGGCAGTGTAGAGATGTCCGTTTTGTGCAAAAAAAACCCCTTTTTGCACAAGATCCTTATCTAGGAAATGTCCACACTGCTTGTTTTTGCGCAAAAACCCCTTGCATCAAAATGGCTCGGAATAGATTATGCAAATGAAGCATGACAATATGCTAATCAGCGCTTCATTTGCATTGCCTCTTCCAGCAAAAGCCCTACTGCAGAGAAAGCCTCAGTGCATGTGAAATCCAATCAGGCCTGTGGGCAAAGCCTTATTTTCTACTGCTGGGCAAGGTCCCCGTTAGCATCCCATTGCACTAACCCAGATCGCAACCCCAATGCATGAGAGCAGAGACGTTCTTGCGACTTTTTTGCTTGCACTCAAGCAAGCACCTCAGGGAAGGGTTTCCCATCAGCCTAGAAAGGAGACTGGTGGCTGCAGGGTGTCCCCATCTGGTAAACATCAGTCTAGAATGTCCCAACGTGGACATAGGATGGGTGGGCCTGTGAGGGGCAGGATGGCTGGAAAAAGCACTTGGCACGAGAAACCATTTCACGCCTCCGTAACGTCACTTCTGGTGGGACAGGAAAGGCCTTGCTTAGTCTTGCAACCTCCATCCGCAGTGGACTCTAGGATGGCTTTGGGCCTAGGAGATCCCGTCAGTTCTTCACAGGCCCTGGGCCAGCTTTGATATGAGGTAGCACTGAGCTAGGAGGTATCAGAGAGCTGAGTCCTTACTGGGCTCCATCCGAATGATCGTAGCACTTGCATTCCCCACTCCCTGCCAGCGATGAATCCAAGCAACCGCAAAGATGCCTGGGCTAGCAATGGGGCCTACACGCGGCCTTAGCTTTCCAGGTCCATTTGCAGCATCTTGTCATGCATTCCCTCCCGCGAGAGCCCTTTTCTACAGAGGCAGAGCGTACTCACCAGGCCGTCAATCAGTCCCATCCCCAGCCCAATGGGCCCTTTTTCCAGCTCCACCACAAAGACGTAGCAGAAGTCATCCGTGGCTGAGCTGCGGCTGGAGGAAGCGGGCGTGGGGTAGTCATAGGGCAGCGGAGAACATGCTGGGCCAAAGAGATGGAGTTTCAGGGGACAGAGGAATACTCTGCAGGACCCAACCCAACCCAGCCTGTGTCTCCACATGGAGCCTCCCCCTTTCCTGCCCCACCAGCAGCGGAAGCTGCTGAAAGACGTAGTGAATTAACAGGGCTCCCTGGAGTGCTCCGTGCCTGGCAGCAGCTCATCCGTCAGGCGGGGAGTCGCTTTTCTTGGGCTTGGCCAAACTGCTCTTGCCACAGCACTTAACTCAAGGAGTGCAGCAGGCAGAGCAGGTGCTAGGCAGAAGTAGACCAAGCAGTTGCATAGGGCCCTGGGCAACTCCTGGGGGGTCCTCTATTTGTTATTAGTCTGTGTTATGCAGGAGTCCCAAATAATATTCCTGCTTTGGGGCCCCAGTGGGTCAGCACTGGCCCTGGCAGCAGGAGGCAGCTGGGGCCAGACAGTGAAAATGACAGAAAATGCTTCCCACTGAGGGGTTTGGCCTAGAAAGGAGACTGGTGGCTGCAGGGTGTCCCCATCTGGTAAACATTAGTCTAGAACGTTCCACAGTGGCCATAAGATGGGTGGGCCTGTGAGGGGCAGGATGGCTGGAGAAAGCACTTGGGAGCTCTCCCACCAGGCTGGGAAGGGGGCCGAGCCAGGTGGCCTTAAAAAGCCCAAAGGGGCCCCTCCAATGGTGGTGACGTGTCGCCCTCATGCTGATTCTGGGAGAAGGTTTTAGTTCAGCGATGGGCAACCCAGGCGTGTGAGTGGGGCGTGTGAGGGGCCCTCCTCCATCTCAGTGGGCTGCAAGATTGTCATGGCCAAGCTGGGCTCCCAGGCTAGGGCAGTTTCGCTACCTGCGCCTGCGTACCCAGAATTCGCAGGGTGTGCTGACTGCCCTGGAGCAGCGCTGGGACTGGCCCAAAGGGTGCGCATGGCTCTCACCGTCAATTTTGTGGGCAATCAGCCCGCCCCTCCCTTCCCGTGCCTTTGCTTTGAGTGTGTCACGTTAGCGATATCAGCAGGGACAAAACCTACCCAGACAGAACCCAGCAGAGTCTGCGCATGGGTACCTTCAGGGGTGGTGGCTTTGGTGCCATTGGCTCCGTCCTTCCTGACGTCCAGGTTGGCTTTCCCGTAGCTGGTGCTCTGTAGGGCTTCCGGGCTCCCCGGGTCGAAGTTCAGCGGCGTGTTGGGAGGGGTCAGTAAGCAGGAGGCATCCACGCTGGCCTTGGAGAAGTGGTTTTTGCCCAGGCTGCTGTGCAGGTGCAGATGCTGGTGTTTCTCTGGGCGCTGCGTCTCATTGGCATAGCAGTCTCTGGGGGACCTGCTCCTGTCCGTGGGGAGCGTAGGGTTCCCTTCAGCCTCAGCACAGCTTCCTGGGCGCCTGTGATTCACCTGGCCAAAGGAATTGCCCAGGGCTGGCAAGGGGCGGGTGTTCTCGGTCAGCTCGGGGGCATTTTGGCTGGTCGGCACTTCTTTCTTTAAAGGGAGACAAACACTGAGCATTAGCCTGGCTCTCTGGTATCTGACCTCCACTGGGGGAGATGGCCTAGTAGTGCCATTTCTGTATCTCCAGCACAGGTGGCAAGTCCGCAGGGCCTTTCCCCAAAAGAGCTTGCACACTGGGCTAACGCTGCAGCATGACCCTTCCTGGGGCCGGGGCAGTGCTGTTAGCCCCTCGGCATGGGAAAGCAGAGTCCAGAGATGGGAAGGGATTTGTCCAGGGCCAAGGGAGGATGCCATGGTAGAGACTCTGGAGTTTCTCCTGGCCTGATCACAGCCCTCGGCCCACTGGTAAATGCAGCTTTTCTAACGTTGCCCTGCCGTGCGGGAGGCCCTATTCAGGAAGGTGCCTCGCCCCAGCATCTGCCCACAGGTGCAGATTTACACCTGGATTCTTCTCGGTACACCCATGGGTCCCAAAGCTTTAGCAATCAGGGGCTTGTCTCTGTGGGCAATTTACCACCATCATAACGCTGGTAGAAGGCTCCATGCAGACATCTGCCAGCCCCTAGGAGCTACACTGGAAAGAGGCTCTCTGGAAAGGGTTTCCCATAGGGCATTACTAACACTAGGGGCTGTGTCTACACTGGCGCGATCTTACGCCAAAGCGGCTGCTCTTGCGCAAAAACATGCTGCCTGTCTACACTGGCCATGTGTTCTTGTGCAAGTAAACTGACGTTCTGCTGTATGAAATCAGGGCTTCTTGCGCCAGAACTCTGGCGCTCCAGCTCAGGAATAAGCCCTTTTGCGCAACTGTTCTTGCGCAAGAGGCCAGTGTGGACAGGCAACATGAATTTCTTGTGCAAGAAAGCCCTATGGCTAAAATGGCCGTCAGAGCTTTCTTGCGCAAGAGAGCATCTACAGTGGCGTGAATGCTCTTGCGCAAAAGCACATGCCAGTGTAGACGCTCTCTTCTGGAAGAGTTATTGCGCAAGAAGCTGCCAGTGTAGACATAGCCTAGCAGTATAATTATACCAGTATGTCTCCCTGTGGAGACATGCCTGAGATTCACCCCTTGGCTGTGTCTAGACTGGCCAGTTTTTCCAGAAAATCAGCCGCTTTTCTGGAAAAACTTGCCAGCTGTCTACACTGGCCGCTTGAATTTCCGCAAAAGCACTGACGATCTCATGTAAGATTGTCAGTGTTCTTGCAGAAATACTATGCTGCTCCCATTTGGGCAAAGTCCTTTTGCGCAAAAGGGCCAGTGTAGACAGCCCAGATTTGTTTTCCGCAAAAAAGCCCCGATTGCGAAAACGGTGATTGGGGCTTTTTTGTGGAAAAGCACGTCTAGATTGGCACGGATGCTTTTCCGCAAAAAGTGCTTTTGTGGAAAAGCGTCCGTGCTAATCTAGACGCTCTGTTCCGAAAATGCTTTTAACGGAAAACTTTTCCGTTAAAAGCATTTCCGGAAAATCATGCCAGTCTAGACGTAGCCCTTGTGTCCCAGCACGGACCGGAGAGATCGCATGTCTATAGGAGGGCAGGGGTGGGGAATCCCTTTCCTTTCCCAGCTCCCAACCTGCAGCTCATGATTCTCTTCTCTCCGTTTTTGCAGGCGGTGGTATCCCATGTGTTGTTAGCAGCCTGGCTTCCCCTAGCAACAGAAGAAGGCCTCTCCCGGCTGAGACAGGGGCCATCATGTTACCAGGCAGGGCCCCCACCCCCACCCCCACCCCGTGCTCACGTTGCCTAGATGCTCCCTTTTGGTGCTGCCTTAGCCCTCCACCAGGCCGTACTGCCCCATCTCCGCCCACTCCAACAGCCCGCTGCTTCCAAGGGCTGCAGTGGCGGGATGGCCGTGGAGACAAGGGCAAGGGGGAGGAGCTAGCTGGGCTCACAGGGCCTGGGACTGCGCAGGCAGAGCCAGGGGAAGCTGAAGGGGACGCTGTCGCCTGGGGAAGATTCCATGTCACTCTCCAGCGGTGTGGAGTCCCGCAGGGGAGGGGTGGCAGTAACACTGAGCCCTGACGGCACTTCACAGCCATCACCTAATTACCTGGAACCCCACCAGTGCCTGTGTGTGGGCAGCAGAACAGGGCAGGCTGCTTACACCCCTTGAGGAGAGGAGCCTGCTCCAGACCCCACCGTCACCCCCTACGTAGGGGTACCAGATGGGTTTCAAAA